TGCAGCTATCGAGTGGCCTCGTCTGTCGGGGGCATTGAGCTCTCTCTGCGTGCCGAGAACCTCCGCCTTACTGCTAGCAGCTGATCAGCCAAATGGCTACACTTTTTCAGCTCTGAGCGACTGACTGACTGGCTGGTTTTTTTCTGCGTTGTTCTGGGCGGCTTTCAGTGTCGAGGGCGTCTGTGTGTGTGACACACTTACCCAGGGGGCTGACCTGTGTGTGTGTGTATCATGTGAGTGAGACGCAGGTATGATGGCGACCAATCGTGCCCTCCCCTGGTACTTGGCTGTCTCTCTGCGTGCTCTCGGTACCTATCCCTTCCTCGCGTCGTGCGTATGCGCGTGTGTCGAGGACGTGTTGGCCCATCGCACAGACGAGCGGGGGACTGCACCCATGCGTATCAACAATAAACGAGCAATGTACAGAGCAGCGCGACATAAGACGTTTGTTGGGTCAGAGTCCGACCATCGAACTACCTGACTCAGTCAGTATAGGCCATCCATTCCATCACTCTCATCCCCCATGCAGCCAGCACCCTGACTCAAAAACCAGTCCAGCCCCTGTCTGCACAGCTACTGGCCTTGCGACTGACTGACTGACTGACTGTCCGCCCACCCGCCACTAATGTGAGTGATACGATAGTCACTCACTCACTCACTCACTGTCTGTCTGTCTGTCTGTCTGTATCTTGCCTTTTTCTATCTCGCGGGCAGCAGACGCCTCCTACTTCTGTCGTCAGGCTGACTCGGCTGCTTCCTACACCTGACTGGCAGTTCCGCGTGCATGTGTGTGTCGCTGGGTGATGGCTCCTCGTCATCAGTGGGTCCGTCATGGGCAGCAGGACCTTCAGCTGAGGGAGAGGGGTGCGACAGGAGGGACCTGAAGGTGTCACTCAAATACCTGGACGCACACACGCAGGCAGGCAGCCGCACACGGTGGGCGACTGACTGACTGAGGCAGGCAGCGAACACCCACCGGCCGGATCCACTGAACACCCACCGGCCGGATCCACTCAGGCACACTGACCGTTTCAGTCTGTTGTGTGGTCGTCGTGCAGCAGCTGCAGCGGCGGCCTGCGCATCCCTCTCAAAGAGCTCGATGGCCGCGCAGTTGTCGTACACACAGGTCAGGTCGTCCAATGCATCTTTCTGCGCGTCGCTGAGAGCTGCGGCAGACAGGCATACCCGGCCGGGCAGTCAGTGTTGTGTGTGAGGTGAATGCTGCTGCGTGGCTGCCTCCTCCGCTCACTCACTGGCATATTCTGATTCACACACGCAGACAGGCGGGGAGGCAGGCAGGGAGGCAGGCAGGCAGGGACAGGTGATCACACGAGGCATGCAGCCAGCCATTCACTGGGGTGGATACCTGGGAATTCCCTGAACTGCTTCAGCACGGCCTCCTTCTCTTCCTCCTGACAGCACACAGACATACACACACACACACACACACATATACAGACACATCCATCCATCCATCCATCCATCCATCCATTGTTCGGATGCCCTCGATGGTCTGGTCTGCTGTAGGTTGGTTGCTCACCGTCATCGAACGCCATATGGGCATGGTGGCTGCAGTCCGTCCAAAGAGGAGAGAGTCCGTCACACATGCATACAGTCAGTCACCCTCACTCTCCTGCGTGTGGCTGGCTGCGTGCGCACCGTTGACGGTATCACATAGCTTCCTGCCCTCTTCGTCCACCGGCCTGAGCTTCAGCACTCGTTCGCACAGCTGGTCCGGTCCCAACTGCGGCTGCGGTGGCGGACGGAACATCTGAGTCAACATCTCTTCAATCCGCATTCCCACGATGAGTGTGTGGCCTTCCTGTGAGCCTCTCTGCAGCTGATCTTTGCATTTCCTTCCTTTCACCTCTAAGCTCGCATTTGCCGATCGTTGCAGTGAGGCTTTTTCCCATTTCAGGTGGGTGGAGAGGCGGCCGAGCGACACCGCGACACCCCCAGACGGGCCGAGCGACTTCAGGCCCTTTCTCACTTGATGGGTTTGGCGGCTCGGAAGTCGCTAAAGGCGCGTGCCACCGTCCACAAGACGCCCGAAGCGACAGCAGAGGCCTTCAAGTGGGACAGGGTGGCAGAGACGGCACGAGTTGCAAGGCTGCGGTATGGCGGCGCCCGGAGCACCGCCTGTGAGGAGTACATCGCGCAACTGACGGGCCAACAGATCGGGTGGGTGAGCTGACTCATCAACACGACCTGTTTGTGTGGGTGCGTGTGTGTCAGACCTGACGTGTCGTTGGATGTGCAGAGTGACGTGTGCGTGTGTGGTATGGTGAATCGACCAGAGCACAACAAGAGCGACGTCACGCGATCTGAAGGGGGATGCTTGGCCGCGGATGAGGGGGGAAATGAGACTCTGCGGCAGTCGAGACGATCGGATTCGGCATGAACGGATGTGTGTGTGACCTTATGTGAGGATGCGTCACGCAATGCATTCTTCAAGGATGAGTGTCGGAACATGTCTACACGGGCAGGAAGGCGAGCATGCAGCACACGCCTGGCACCACGGCCACATACATATGAGCACAAAGAGACGGGTATACACATCTTCAGGCACACGCACACAGCAGCTGTATACAAACACATAAGACGGTATACACACATGCGCATAAGCATGGGCATGTGGTCCTGCGCCTGCCGACTATCCTACACTCGCCCCGCTCCCCTCCGCCCCTCTTCACGTCGATTGTGAGAGCACGATGTCGGCCACCGCACTCAGCCACTGCCAGCCATCCGGCTCCTGAACACACACAGACAGAACCAGGAGGGCAACGAAATCAAAACACTCATCTGCACCCCTCCGCCCCCTGGCCCCTCTGTGCTGACCTGCGGTGTGTAGATCTCCAAACCGACACATGTGAACACATGATCGGCAGCCAGGGTGGCCCATCCGTCCTCGTTCACCTTGCCCACGTACGTCTTGTCGTCGGGCAGCTCATCCCTCCACAGCCACTGACAGCAGCTGCGCAGGTCGCCAGCCGGCCGCCCCTCCTTCCCATAGCCCAGCCACACGCGGCCACCAGCGATGCACAGCTTGCCAGCCCAGCCCTTGTCACCCACCACCGCCCCCTCTGCGCCGGCGACCAACACCCACTGGTCCTCATGCGGCACGGTGATCTTGGCGATGCCCTGCTCCTCGAATGGACCACTGATGGAGTAGAAGGTCACGGGGCACCGTGCTGCCTCCACTCCAGTGGGGTCTGCCGGCTGCTTGAGCTATCCCTCGATGTGGGTGGCGATGGTGTGGCTACCGGTGTCCTTGGCCACCAGCAGCAGGTCGGCCGCCTCGCCCACCTTGGCAACCATGGTCTCGTGAGCCCAGCCGTCACGCTCACCCCTGACACAGCCGGACGGACAGACAGGAGAGAGATACGATGATAGCATCACAGCCATCTTTGGCTGACCCACTTGTAGAGCAGCTGGGCGGTCATTCCTATGTCGCGGGTGGTGTCGATGAGGGCCTGCAGGTCATCGGCGGGGAGGATGGGGTCGGCCGGGAGAGTGCTCCACACCTAAACAGACACACACACACACATCGACATGATGACGTCCGTCCACTTGGTGTGTCGGCCTGACCTGGTAGACCTTCAGTCGCTGGGCTGTGAAGTAGTGGCTGGCAGCCAGGGTAGCCTGCCGTCCACCACCGGTCGATCCGGTCCTGGTGGCAGATCCCTCCTGGTCGATGCTGCCCACGTATGTCTTGTCGT